AAATAATCTGTCGATTTGTGGAAAATTGTTTTATCGTATCGAGTTTACCGCTCAATATCCGCTATTCTTGACTTTATTGAAAAATTATAGACGGATGAATGGATATTAATTTGGGAACACTGCGAAAACGGAAGGATTAAATGGAATGCGGACAGTTAATCGCGGGATTCACCTGTGTTTTACGGCTACATCGACGAGAGTTTGAGTCGGGGAAAGCGTCAGAGCCAGGCGAGGATCAAACGAATATCCGCCGCAAAACGTGCCGATCCGCTAAAAGCGCAAATAAACATTAAAACGCGAAGGATAAATCCGGCTGTTTGTAAATGTAACGCAGTATTCGCACCGACTCGTCGAGCCGTCCATCGAGATTGTGGCATTGCAAACTTGCAGCGTGCGCCCCGGCAAATAGACGGGCTAGCCACCCTTTTGGCTGCCCTTTTGGCATCCTTCCAATTTCGATAATCTGATCGCGCAATCATTATTATACTCCATTATTGGCCTCATTATTTAACGTCTGCTAAATCCCAGGAAACCGCGTCCCGTTTCCTCTATACTATTTTATCCGCTGAGCAGAGACTCAAAAATGGAAGAAGTAGGAAATTGCTTCTCAAATGGATAAAACGACGAATGTGGATTATTCGAGCTGTGTGAAGTTGCCCGCCCTCCTCCTTCCACTATTGAAAATCCCCTAACGACCATTATCACTCGATTGGGGGTCGTTTGGTAGTATTTGGTTCATTCCCGATGATGGGTAGTCAAAGTTGTAAATAATAATATGAAAAAAGACATACGCGCGTGAAGTTTGCCTCTACTTTCGCAAAATATGGCTTTTCAGAGTGCATATAAGTAATCATAACTGTAAACATTCATTTGGCGGTTGTTTATTGACGTTTGGTAGTCGATTCTCGATAATTGGTAGTTGCAAAGTTTAAATAATAATATGAAATTATTCGTTACAGAAAACTGAGTAGAAAATTAAAATTTGCACAGCATACAATTTGCATATAATATCTACTGAAATTCCATCCTATACGGTTAGTGTAAAAAGAACATTGTTTCCTTTATTTTTTAATTTTTTTCCGTCGAAAATTTTGTAGCACAAAATTATATTGTTAATTAAATGTTAATACCCTTCGCCGGCACAGATAAGCGCGGCTTAATCATCGAGATTAGACGCGAGAGAAGCCAATAAACGCAACTTTGGTTGTACAGCCGAGCGAATTGAAGGCGCGAGGAACATACACAATGTCTCGTTTGTTCCTCTTTATTCTTCGGGTACGATTTCCTAAGGGTGAAATGAGTAGAACGGTGCGGGACGTTCTTCAGGGTTTACCTTAAGGTCTCTTCTCGTCGCAGCGAGCTCTTGAGCGGAAAGTAACACGATTTCGGTGCGACGCGCGAAGGGCGTGGGTATAAAACGAAGGTTTTCACGAGGGCGTAAGCCCGCTAACGAGCGACAAGCGGCGTCGAGCTACTCGGCGGAAAATGAAAATCTTTTTTAGGCGACGACTAAAACACACCGAGACGGTGCGAGAAAGATGATGCGCGCGTTATATCACTCTTGCTGTAAAAGCTAACGGCGCGATAGATACAAACGGGGACGAGAAAGGGGGACGAAAGAGAATTTTAAGAGCGTTTAATCGTCGTCGCGAGAAGAATTCGCTTTTCTAAAAATACTGAGCGATTTGAAAGCGATGTCGATTGGATTTATCCAAAAGGGAGATTTTTACATACGAAGAGCGCGACTGTGTCCGATTGTTAAATAGCAATTTGCTTAAGAGGTGTTTACATCTTACAATTAGATGCGATTTCAGAATCACAGGTGTAGGTTTGAAAAAAAAAAAACACTTCGCAAAAAACATATTGTTATCTTGAGAAACAGAAACGTGAGAAATAAATATGAGAAACAAACAAATTATAGAGAATACGAGAGGATTGTGTTCTCAGTTGTTTAATAGCAGCGCTTTAATCATTCTTCTAAATGGAGAGCAAACAATTGGAGACTGTGTGCGGCCGCGTAATAAATAGTAAAGGACAAGAGAAGAGATATTTACGTTGAGTTTAACTGAAATTGTGATCGGAACGCAAGCGAAAAATACGCATTATCAGCTCGTGAGCGGTATCGAATGACGGTAAAATGACTTTTCGATGCTCGCACCCGAGGCGCGGATTAATAAATTTTATTACGTTATAGAAGACAATATTATGTAGCACACACGTTTGCATTATCCAACAAAGAACAGCAGTAACGCGTTAAGTTTCAGTAGTTGCTACAACGTGACGCAAATGTAAATGAGACCGTGCATGTTGTGTTTAATATTTTATTTGTTTAGCACGCGTACGAAGGTAAATCCAAAAGTCTACAACGCATTAAATAAAGCTTTATTCCGAGGATTTTATTTAGTAAAAAGGAGAATTTGTTTTTACAATTCTAACAACTTTAAAAACATTATTATAGACGCAAACTTTTTTACGACAACAGCTGGTTTAAATAAGAGTGAATGAGAATGTTGGAAATAATTTGTGCGATAGATCCGAAATGAGGTTTGGGTCTTTATTGTAAAATACAGCGCATGAAAATGGAAATGAACTTTTAACTGACGTAATGCAAAACTCGTCTTTTCTGAGCATTTCTCGTCTGCTCATTTGTCTAAAATAAATACCGTCAACAATAGAAACGGCGAAGAGAAAATCAAACAAAAATAAACGCTCGTTTAAGACCTATATTTAAACTCTTATGTTTCTTCAGTGCATCTTTAATCTAATTATGAGAACACCTGTTGCGTAAACAGCAATGTGTGAAGAAAAAATTCGCAATTGTTCCCATTCGCCGTAAATTACGAATGTTTAATGGATACTATAAGTATGTAGCAATAACCAATCAAAGTACATTTTCTAGATTACTTTGAGGGAAAATTATTTCTTTACATATTTGTCTTAAAGTTAATTATTGATATCACATAATTTTTTTTCTAATCCTACAAGATCGATATGAATTTTCTTCATGATTTGCGATAATATCGGAAGAAGATTGATCGAAGTAAGCCATTTCGTCTACAATGCATGATGTAAATAATTACGAGCCCGTTTCAACCTACGAAATGCGGAGACAAGGATTTCGCATTCGACTAGGCGATACAGCTACGACGAGACGTATTCGAGATTTTTCCCCGGAACGCCGGCTGCTGAAAAATTCACGAGTATTTCGTATTCGGTATTTTGTTGGTCGTTTTATAGCCGCTCGCCCGTTCATTCGTAAAAGCAAAGTACCGAAGCGCGGAATCATATTTACGGTCTTCCCGCGTCGCGAACTTAGTACGATGCGACGCGAAGGTTTCTTCTACTCTGCTCGTGCATTTCATGAGCATCACTTAAATTATGTTTACTTATTGATAGTCTGCCAATTTATTACGCTGTTCTTTACGAATCTCTTATGAAATTTATTATTGTTATTATTTACCGATATAAATTAGAGATAAGAGGTAACGTTTGAAAAAGAAATCTTTTCAGGAAAGTTGATCATACTTTTTTATATTTTGTTGTATATTATAAAGCAGCATTTCTGTGAAAGTTAAATTACGCAAAGTTAATAATCTTACGATTGTCTCGTATCTTTTGATTGTTACTATTACTTTACGTTATTACACATAAAAATTGCCTAGATGTTATTTCAGTTTCAAGAGTAAATAATAAACTTCAAGAGTACACATGGCACTACGGATGAAGCCCTTAACGCACTCTGGCGCCCTTCATTCCTGCTTAGACATTTATCACCCGGCTTTTCGACTCGCGCGAGCGTATCTGCTTTTCCTCCAGTCAGACAACGTACTTCTAATGTGTTTATATCCGCGTCGACACATTTGTGCAGGCATTAAAGACATCGCCTTTGGGATTGTCAAGGAATCGTGAAGCGGTAAATTTTGCCGTTGAATTACTGTAATGCAAGTTAATTGCTATTCTATTAGTAAATTGTATGAACGAAATATGTTCTCGGCAAGTAATTTGTACAGAAAAGTACGCGGATTAAACTTGTCGTTGGCACGTAGTAAAACGTTACGTCTCGTACGTTTAACGGATCAGAATGGCACGTAATTATTTCCGGACGACAAACTTCCCAGCGGTGTAATCAAACACGGATTAAAAGCGCCGCCCGTCTTCGTTAGCAGCGATGGAAGAAGAATTCGAAAAATTCTCCGAACTACGTTTTTAAAACTTCCGACAATTTTTCATCATCGTCATAAAAGCCAATTTAAGCCATCGAGGCTCCCGTACACTCGATCCAAGCACTTTCGAAGTTACAAACAAGACACCACCTGATCTTGTTCGATCAACGCGATGTCGGATTGTCCTGTCAATTATCGGGCGCTACGTTTAAAGGTCCGTTATACCGAAGAAACGGCGGGGCGAAAATTACTATAATTTTCTCCTGCCGCGCGCGGAAGCCGCACTCGTCGCAGATATAATTAAGTCTCAATTACGGGCGCCCGTCTTAATCAGCGAGAGAATAAGGATCGACAAAGCGGAATTAACCGCGAAACGCGCACGCACATAGAATTAATTACACGGATTTGTTGAGGGAATAAATATAAATCTTGAACCGAAATATTAGTTTTTGAGTTTCAACAATTTTTTTAACTGCATGTTAATATCGACGATGTTAACTTTAATAGATCAAAAGAGAGAGTAATTAATAAGCATTAATTTTTGTTTCAAAAATTAATAAAATTTATAGAGGCCTTTAATTGTTTTTAATTACGAGACATTTTTCTCATTACATTTTTTAAATGTTTAATTATAAATGTGTTATTTTCAAGTGTGTATTTTTTTAATTATTTTTTTGTGTGTATAGGTTTTCCATTTAAAGATTAAACAATCTTCCAAAGGATTAATTATGATTAAAAATGCTATATAATTAAATTTGTTTTGACGTAAAGTAATTGGTCTAATGCAACTAGATAATATGTAATAGCTTATTTATTAAATTTAAAGCAAACAGTAATTTTAATAATATATTATGATTTATATATTTTTTATCCAGAAATTTTGTTGTTGTGTATGTACATCGACATAAAATATACGCCGAAACAACGTATAACATCAAATAAATTCTTCTCCGCTGATGAAAGCTTTTTCGTCCACATTCCAGAATATAATTGTAATTAAAATTAGAAGAGTTGAAATTGCAAGCTCGTATAATCAATTAGTTAAAAATTAATTTTTTTTGCACGTGACCCGTAGCGGCGTAAACTGTTGGATTTACGGTACAAAGACAACGCATAAATTCCGTAACAATGAGCGAATATAACATATATCTTGATGAAGGACTTTCTGCTGACGGATTTACGGACTTAATTACGTAGCATATACTTTATATATATGTAGCTATATTAAGAATGTTTCAAAGGCTGGACCGCGCCCATCGAGTCCGCCGCCGTTTCCTCCCACGGGAAATGAAGTTTGCGTGACACGAACGACGATTACATCCTGCGCAATCAAATACTATATAGCGACACATCGAACTCTCGTGAAGGTGGAACGTTCATTAAATAACTTAAATCTATAAAGATGCTTTAAGTTATAATTATAATAATAATTATATATCAAGTACAATTCCGTTGAATAACTTAAATTTTGTTATTAATTATCTGTGATTATAAAAATGAGAAAGAAAATTAAAGAAATGGTATTTTAAATTATAACTTTATTATTTATCATTGTATCTGTGAATAATTCTGATGTTTCAGATATATGTACCTAACTCAAGCGTGAAAGGGAGTTTAAAGTAAATTTCTTTAAAGTTTCCGGTTTTTAGTGTCACTTTACGCCGAATTTGTTCCCTCTTGTGTCTACTTTTAGTAACGCTACGCCGCTTGAAGGACAGCAGATGGTCATCTTTAGTTTCCCTAATTAATGAGGGTCACGTGGAAGTCTTTTACGCGTTTAATGCTATTTAGTTTTTCTTTCGTCGGCTAAAATTGGAAGTATTATCGTCTCTAATTTATTGCATTTTATAATAGAAAAAAATTTATTTTTTTTTTAGATTTTATTTATTTAAAAATTTGTTAAGCAGATACATATACCTATGAGACATCTTTAAATTTTATTGACTCTTGATACTGTGAATATTTTTATGTATCAATAATTTTGCGTATTATAAATATTATATTTCCCAGCTATTTCTCTCTATCTCTTTTTGTTTTTTTCTAAAAAAATCATTCGTTGCAGTAAAATATGATTATATTCTTTAAAGGTGTGCGAATCAAGCATTTGCATGGTCGAATCGAATCTGAAATTTTCACTTCGAATCGAATCGAATCGAATCTGAATCAAATTTTTCCAGATTAACATTATATGTTAATTTAAAAACGTAATAAATATCAAAATTTATGATTTACATTATTTTACGCAATGATTTAAACAAACTGAAGATCTGTTTTTGATTTACATCTCATTACAAAGGATCATGATCTTATGTGACATTTTGAACTAGAAAATATTAATATTATATGTATACACGAATAGTTAGAATGCTTTCGAATATTTTATTAATCTAAGTATATGAATACATTACATATAAAAATACTTACATATCAAAAATATTTATTTATTAGATAAGAATAATTGGTCGCTCGGGAGATGTAAATGAATCAAATAAAATAGGCGATCGATTCAAAATCAAACCATCGTTGATTCGAAATTCTCGAACTACTCGCACACCTCTAATATTATTCTTCATTATGATATTATATTATTTATGGTACGGCAATTATAAAAAGTATAGTACGAAAGATTAAAAAAAGAATAGGTTAACTTCGCGACAGAATGCTTTCTCCTGGAAAGTATATTCTGTTTCGTCCATTCGAGCCTTCCTTTCCTCTTAAAGTTCCATGGACACCACAATACGTGCGTGTGAGAAAGATAGAGAGGGGCTTCGCAATGCAAGCACGTCGACGGACGCTAGAGCGAGACATTTGAGTCGTATGACAGAACGCATGGACCGATATACCAGACTGGCTCTCACATGTGATATGTGTCTACCTTCTCTCTTTTCTTTCACGACACGCCTTTTCTTTTTCTTCTGATACTTTGGATCTATTACACTTTCTTTTACTTTTTATCGCACTCGACTCTCGGACTCTTGTTCCTCTCGTGAATTTAAACGATATATCGTGTTTTGCATATTTATTCGACGAAAAATAGACCTCGATTGTACGCGCTTATCGATTAAACATTGACAGTATTGCAAATGAAAATGACTCTATTTTAAATTTTCGGTGTATAAATTTTTAATATTTATATTTTATTACAGGATACGTTGTATACATTTATCGTTTGTTATTATCACATATGCTTTTTTAAATTGTTACTTGCTTATTTATATTTTAACAACAAATTTAAAAATATTAAGAGAATCTATCGAGTGAGGGAGGGGTGAAGGGGGAGGAGAACATGTCTTTTCCATATGAGCAAATTGAATTCTCTGTTATTACAAAACTCGACATCCGATCGGAGCGTGCGTTCGCCAGATACCGGTGATCACGTATTGTACTCGCAACGATCGTTTGTGTCGTAACTCGTGCCACGTTCGTGTATTTGTTCGGCACAAAGCAAACCCGCACATTTATTAGGAGCATCGGAAAGCAATCGATTATCCACGCGCACACTTGCGTTTAACTTTTGTGAGAGGTACGATGTGCGTTGTGGATCAACGATAAAATTATAGCCTCCAGAATTGTCGAGTTAACAATCGAGAAATTAATCGATCGCATCTGCTCTTTCCCCTTTACAAAAGCGAGCGAAGCTCGCGCTTGTCGAAACGAATTTTTAATTACAACTTAAATGCCGCCATAAAAGTTAATCTAAGTATTGATGCATTTTATCGATTATTTGCTAATTCTATTCTTTCTCTATTCTTACAGGTAAGCACAGATTCCCTTTTATTCTCCAAAATGATTCTCTTGATGGGATATTCATTACGAAGAGGAAAGAGTCTGAAAAGAACACGTAAGATTGTTACCGTAATTCACTTATTTAGGATAATAGTTACGAAGTAACCTTTAATCCTTTAAATATTCTAAAATGCTCAGATTCTCTCTTATCTAATTATAAATTTTACATGTGAAACACGAGGCTTGCGAGATCTTCCCCTCTGCGAGTTCTCATTCTTAAAGCAGCGTTTTTAAAACCGACGGATAGATTAGATCGCGAATGTTCAAGTAGTCATCTAAATTTTATGGAACAAGGAATCGGTGATGCGAGATCTCTTTTTTTAACAATATCCAGACTCTCTAATAAGGTCACATTCGGCCCGAAATCGTTTCTCTCGTCGATCCAACACCAGCTCGCGTGCACGTGCACGCTAGGCTACTGTCTGTTACAGCTGTTCTTGACTATGTTCCCGGTTCCGTGTTCCGCGTTATGAATGTATTCGGCTTGTTCGAGCGAACAAATTACGAGAGCATCTCGACCTGCCTGCAGCGTCCCTCTTTCTCACTTTCATCATTTATTCGGCGATTAATCAATTTCCGAAAATGCCGTGACCCGCCGCCGAAATAGAGAACGGCCAGCCTGCGTATACGCTAATACCGGGGCGACGCAATTAATCATTTCGTAGCCAGAAAGCCGTACGTAATTCTATGTAATTATTTGACATCGTCGCGGGAATTGTGTGCAACCTTGTATCAATCAATTATCGACAGACGTCGATCAAATCGCGCCCGCCGGATTAAAATCAGCGGCCGGAAGGCGCGCGGCACCTATTTCATTCTTCTCTTCAATTCCAAATATTTCACCCCTGTATAATTTTAATTAGTCTTAATTAGTCTTTTCTAATTAGCCCGGACATTCGAGACATTGCATTTAAGCTCCACTGTGATTCCGTTGTTTATTTTCTTCCGATTCTTCGCGAAAACAGCAATTTTTCCTCGGTCTTAAATTTATTTGATACGACATTCGATATGAGAAACAACTGCGTAAAGTTTCGCGATGTCCTCGAGCGTAGAATTTCGAGATCGTCTGTCGCGCGAAGCCGATATCAACTATAGATAAGTGAGCCAGCGCGTCGTCGGCATAAAAGATTCAACATCCTGGAACATGCGAGGCGGCAACGCGAGACTTACGGCGCCTCCCCGTCGTGTGTACCCTTCCATCCCTTTCTTTCTTCTCTTCGCAGAAAACGGTACTGTCGTGCGTGAGGCGCCCGATATGCGAGAGGGCGAGAGAAGGAAGGGGGTCTCGTCGCTTACAAGAGGGTGGAATCGATTCGCCGTCTTTTATCGACCGACTACTTCCCATGGCACGACGAGTGCTAGTTTTCTTAACTTTTTTTCTCTTTCATTTCGATTGTTTCTCTCTCTCTCTCTCTGCTTCTCTGTTTGTCTAATTAAGCTCGCAGTTCGACGTTGACTCTTTTCTCTGTTTTCATCTTCCACTGTGTGGATTACTCTTATCTTTCTTACTCATCCGCTTTCTCATCGCTATGTATAGGCGACAATGCAATGCGAGGCGGTGCGATAGGATGAGAGATAAAAGAGGATAGACGGGGAGACTTCAATGGTATCGTTAGAAATACGGTTGATCGGAGCACTCGATGGAATTAGTTCCTCTCGTGCTTTTTGCGCTATCCTTTTTTTTTTCCTTTTTCATTACTCGATACATTCTGAATTTCTCTCTTCGTTATTGCTGTTGTTATAAATTATTAAAAGCGCTTGAAAAAAAGTGAGGAAAATCTTACGAATCGACAATGAAGTGTAATTGTATCGCTGTGCGATAAATAACGACTCGAACGGTTCGACTGTCGGAATTGCAAACCGCCCGGCTAACTAATTACAGATCGAGGACGTTTGATTAGAATGGCAATTGCGAGTTTGCGCGTTTTACGACAATCAAATGCACGCTGCTCTCGTGGCTTTGTCAATTTCCCGACGTATGATGACGTATGATGACGATGATCATCGCCTGCAGCACAGCGCGGAGTTATTAATGCACCTATACGCGTGTTTGTATCGACCATATACCATGTGAACTTTGATCCTGAGATTACGTGTAGGTGAAGTAGTGGATAACAGATAAAACGAGGGGAGAGGGAATGTATATATATATATATATATATATTTGCGCGCCTTGGTATAATATTACTATCTACCTCGTTTCGTGCATCTTTTATTAGACACGCACACAAGAGCGGGTAGAGAAAATGAGATACCTCGAATTTATTGTAACCTGGAACGCGTTTTCCCTACGGCTAGCGAGCAAATTAGGAAATTGTTACTTTAGGGACAAATGTAGAGGGAGCGTAAGGTCACATTCGAGGAAACGACCGATGGGCAATTACTTGGACATGGGGCGTGTTTCTAATCTTGTTAACGAATACAATTAAGGTTACATTGTATTTTCGCTTTTTTTTTTTAGGAACAACGCAATAATGCAATCTTGAAATAATAAAGCGAATACAAGGTTTTTTTACTTGATGGAAATACCGCAAATTGTATCGATCTCACGAGAAAAATAATAACAGTAAAGGATATAATTATTTCTGTTACTTTCACTCATCAAATTTTAAAGCACAAATCGGTAATATCGTACAAATGAGTCTCAGATTTAGGCAAACACGTGCCTCTCACATATATGTACACACGTTATGCGTTATTCGCTATTTACCTTGCATTTCGGTCAATTATATACGCAACTCCGCGCTAAATTAGTTTTATATTGGCGCATTCTCAAGAATATCCCCCGTATTCTTTTGCCTGTCCCCGATATCGAGATCTAAGCTGCGCTTCGTCGATCGAGCACGAGATGCTCGAGAAGAAGAATTCACCAGAGAATGCTGGCGACATGCATTTGTGCATCGCACGAAGT